GGTATTTTTTTTAGACCTTGCAAAGGCATTCGACACTGTGGATCACCCCATGCTGATAACTGTCTTAAAAAATCTAGGATTTCGTGGAATTACAGAAAAACTGATAATATCATATCTAAGTGAAAGAAGGCAATATGTCCAGATCGGTAAAACATTTAGTGAACCAACAACTGTGGAGTACGGTGTTCCTCAAGGAAGCGTACTAGGCCCAATCCTATTTACAATGTATATAAATGGCTTGTTAAACATAAATACATTTGGGCTGATCGCATCGTTTGCTGATGATACAGTTATTATATACAGTGGAAAAACATGGAAAGAAACGAAACTACAAGCAGAAAAGGATTTAGCAAAGATAAAGGATTGGTTTGATGAGATGTCTCTGACAATTAACTTTAAGAAAACAAAATACATACCTTTCAGTTGTAGTAAGGCAAAAGCTCCAAATTTCACAGAAATTAACGTAACACAAGCAAATAACTCAAAAGTAACTATAAAAGGGACAGATAATATAAAATATTTGGGAATAGTACTGGATAGATATTTGAAATGGGACGTACATATCAACAACCTAATAAATAAACTACGTGTTATACTTTTTAAATTTAAAAAACTAAAAAAAATTCTTTGCTTTTCACAACTTAGGATTATGTATTGTGCACTCGTTCAATCCTTAATTCAGTATGGGATAGTTGGGTGGGGTGGAGCCTATAAAATACATATTGAAAAGTTAGAAAAAATTCAAAAGGTTTTCCTAAGGATAATGATCAATAAAAATCGCCTTTATTCAAGTAACAAAACATATGAAGAGAGTAAGCTAATGGACATTAATAAATTATATACCTTCAAATTGTTAATATATCAATTCAGATATAGGCACAAACTAAATATGATTGATCACCCACATAATACCCGACAAAAGTTGAAACTGAGGGTTGCAACTATTAAAACCAAAAAGACAATTGCTCAAAGAACAATTTCCTTTCTCGGGCCTTACATCTATAGATTTTTGCCAGATTTTCTTAAGGATGTCACTATATTGAAATTGTTTAGAAGTATTTTGAAGAAATGGATTCTTGAAACTCCCCGTACGTTTTTTAATGAACTAATAAATGGAAAACTCAAATAACATTACTTGCATATCGAGTTGCATATTCAATCTTTAGGTTCAAAGAATTCTTCTTTAAAATAGGCAAATTCTCTTTATGAATCTTGTTTTTTTGAAGTGCAGAGTGACAATGGATTTATACAACATAGGGCTACTGAGGTATTTTTTTGTTTTGTTATTATTTATATACTTATAATTATTGTTGTAAATTTATGGAAATGGGTATGCTCCCTGGTATGCTAAGGGTCAAATTTAGATTGTTTTGTGTTTTCAAGTACTTCCTATGACTACTTATTATTTTGTTTCAACATGTAAACGCGGTCTGCATAACTGAATGGAATAACAAGAAAAGTCTGCACACAAGTCCATCAGGACTTCAGCAGAAATGTTCTTATTTATTTATTTTCCTTCTGGTTACCTTGAAAGTAGTTTACTATGCGCTCGTCGAATCCATAATTAATTATGGCATTGTTGTTTGGGGTAGTGCAGGTGTGACTACATTGAACAAGCTCCAAGTAGCACAGAAATACATAATAAAAATTATGTTATTTAAAAATAAAAGATATCCAACTGAGTTGGTTTTCAAAGATAGTGAACTGTTAGATATCCAACAATTGCACCTTAAGGCAATAGTTAGATTTATGTTAAAAGTGCCTTATTATAAGGAACCTATTAGCCACGGAGTAAATACGAGAAACACTGCTAAGAACAATGTGACAAGACACAACCCCAAACATACAATCTGTCAATATCACATTTCTAGCTTAGGACCAAAAGTTTTTAATAGCCTCCCGAATAATATTAGAAACAAGCCATATCATAGATGTAAAAGAGAAATAAAACAGTGGATTCGTCAGAGTAATTACAAGATACATTACCTAATTTAAAAATAGTAAAAGATAATAACATTATTATTGTTTATATTTATATACATAAGTGAGTCAAATTAGGAACCTCAAGGGATAGACTGATATAGGAAAAAAGGGGCACACACAGTATTTCAAATACCATCGTGCACCCACATTAGGCAATAGTGTTAAGTATAGGTAAACTATATTGGGTATTTTTGTTATTATTTAAGGATACTATTGTTGATCAATAAATAAATAAATAAATAAAAATAAAATAATACACGAGCGAGCAAGTTTCATATGCAGGGTGTTCATTTTAAAACTTACCACCCATTATCTGGAAGTTGAAAAAATTTTGAAAAAAATCCCTGAAACATGTCAACTATAGCTTAAGGGGGATGAGTTTTTATGCAAAATTCACCTCCCTCCTTTTAACCCCCCAGCCCCCAGAGCCACCCCCTTTTTCAACAAAATGATAGGGGTGGTAAGTTTTAAAATGAACACCCTGTATCACATGTGAGTGTATTGATGGCCATTACATGAGACTCATTAGAGTTGTTGCATACACCATTTTTTTCTGCTCCTATAGCCAATATTTTTTTGTTGTTTCTAAAATCAAATCAAATCAAAAAATGCTTTATTGTACAAAAAGGCCTTAAGACCCTTATTTACAAAGCTAAAATGGAAATAATACAAAAACATTATGAGGAGACACTGAAACGTTACATGTTAAAATACTAAAAACTAACAAAGACAATCAAGATAAAAACATTAAAAAACCAAAAACTGCTACTCAAAATGTCATTCACAAATCCAGTCAAGCTCTTATATATGGTACATACAAATAAAAAAATAAAAAAGCGAACAAACAAAAATAAAGATCAAAGTATTTTTCAAGTTACAGATAGACATCATAATTCATACAATCGCCAAAGCTAGAGCCTATCGCCATAAAATTCTTCCAGAGAGTAATATGCTTTTAAGAGCAGAAGCTGTTTCACCTTTCTAGCAAAAAGGATACTATTGTCTAGATATTTGATCTCAAGAGGCAGGTGGTTATACATCTTTTTCCCCTCATATATTATTGAGTTTTTTGTTAATGCACTCCTTGGGATGCACAGACTCAGATTGTTGCTGTTGAACCTAGTTGTCCTGGTGTCATTATTGTCATCTGATCCTTTATATTTTTTGTGAACCATGCCCACCGTCAGTAAAATAAAAATACAGGTCAATGTAAGAATTCCCTCCCGGATGAACAGAGGCCGGCAGTGTTCCCTAGAGCCGACTCCACACAATAAACGAACGTTTTTGTAAAACAAAAACTGAATTAACTATTTGACCACTGGCAAAACCCCAAAATTCAATGCCATATCTGAGACGTGACTCAACAAGTGCAAAGTAAACACCCCTTGCAATGTCATGACCCAACTCATTACGAACCGTCCTTAACGCATAACATGCAGGAGCTAGTTTTTTTCGCAAGTCATTGATATGCTCACCAAACTTCAACTTAGAGTCTATAGCTAAGCCCAAGAACCTCAAACAATCCCTATTAGCAAGTGGCTCATCATTTAAAGTTATATTTGCCACAGAACACTTAAAGGAAAGTAAATTTGTTTTCGATATGTTGAAAGATAGTTTATTGGAGTCACACCACTGCTTTACCTTGCGAATATCTTGCCCAATCCTATCCTCCAATGTGACTTTGTCTGATCCCAGCCATAAGATGGTAGTATCATCAGCAAAAAGTGTAATTGATGCATCAATGTTGATGCAAGCTAGATCATTAATGTAAATCAAAAATAATAGGGGACCAAGCACTGATCCTTGGGGCACCCCATGCTCAATGCTCCGTACCGATGATACATCGTTGTGGCCCTTAACAATCTGTTTTCTGTCTGTCAGATAAGACTGTATCCAGCTCAAAGTGTTACCCCTGAATCCATAATGAAAGAGTTTCTGGAGTAATATCTTACGGCTTACACAATCGAAGGCTTTGGAAAAATCGCAAAAGACCGCAGCCGCGATCTCCCCCTGATTCAGTCCAAGATACAGCCTCTGAAGAAAGTTGAATACTGCATCACTAGTGCTCTTCTTGTCCTGAAATCCAAACTGGTTGACATTCAGCAACCCGTGAGCCCGAAGAAAAGAGACCATCCTAGACTTAACAAGTTTTTCTATTATCTTAGAGAGTGTTGGCAGCAGAGATATCTAAAGATCTACAAACAGAAAAAATCCTAAACAAGTATCATTTTTTATAAACATTAAACATTAAAAATAATTCGATGCCAGTCCAGTGACTGAAAAATTTAATCATAATCAATAGTATATTGTGTATTTAGGTGGAAAAGTGACGCATTCTCGGCCGATGGTGTAAGTTGACAGGCGAGGCGTAGCCGAGGCCGACAAACACCGAAGGCCGAGAATGTGCTTTTCCACCGAAATACACATACTATTTTTTCTGCGATTAGTTAAATACCTGTTAAATGTTTGTCTTTTAGTTCCGATTATTCAGCAATACGAGAATCACTTTCCCGGCCTAGGCCAGAAAAGTGTTTCCCGTATTGTTATTCATTGATTCCTTGGCAACTATTGAAACATAATTGAAATACCAGAATATTGAGTTTTGCGACCTGTCAACTGGTCAAAAATGCTGACATTTCTAGTCAATCGCAGAAAAAATAATTATCATAATGAAGTTCATAATGCAATATATTTTAATCTTTTAATTAGTGTATTATGAGAAAGAAGTAGAATAAAGATTTTATGTGTGTCCTAGTTAATGATTCAAGCCCTATTTTTATAGCCAAGGATGTTCCCATTTTGTTTCTCTTCTACTCTATAAGAGAAATCAAAAGAAAATATCCCAAATAAAACAACTATGCTCATAGTACTGCCTAAGATGAAAATGTCTTTAGTGGGTTTCCCATGCATCTTACATGATAAAAATTATTGTGTATTTTCCTTTTCTTTATATTCACATTTTGCAAAACAAATTGAGACAAACACAATCTCTAATAAGTTTTTTTTTCTGATTTCAGATGCCAGAAGAAACTGACGTCGAAACTTTCGCCTTCCAGGCTGAAATTGCTCAGTTGATGAGCTTGATCATCAACACTTTCTACTCCAACAAAGAAATCTTCCTTAGAGAATTGATCTCCAATTCTTCAGATGCCTTGGACAAAATCCGTTATGAATCGCTCACCAACCCTTCCAGGTTGGACTCTGGCAAAGATCTTTTCATCAAGATCATTCCCAACAAAGCGGAAGGAACCTTGACCCTTATCGATAGTGGTGTCGGTATGACTAAAGCTGACTTGGTCAATAACTTGGGTACCATCGCCAAGTCTGGAACCAAAGCCTTCATGGAAGCCTTACAAGCTGGTGCTGACATTAGCATGATTGGTCAATTTGGTGTTGGTTTCTATTCTGCCTACTTGGTTGCTGACAAAGTTGTAGTTGTATCTAAACACAATGACGACGAGCAATATATCTGGGAATCTTCTGCTGGTGGCAGTTTCACAATTCGTCCTGACCATGGGGAACCACTCGGCCGTGGTACCAAAATCGTTTTGCACATCAAGGAAGACCAAACTGAATATTTGGAAGAAAACAAAATTAAGGAAATTGTCAAGAAACACTCTCAATTTATTGGTTACCCAATTAAAATGCTTGTAGAAAAGGAACGTGAAAAGGAACTAAGTGAAGATGAAGCTGAAGATGAAAAGAAAGAGGGTGAAGAGGAAGACAAAGATAAACCAAAAATTGAGGATGTCGGTGAGGATGAAGACGAAGACAAAAAAGAAGAGAAAAAGAAGAAGAAAACTATCAAAGAAAAATATACTGAAGATGAAGAACTGAACAAAACCAAACCAATCTGGACCAGAAACCCAGATGATATTAGCCAAGAAGAATATGGTGAATTTTACAAATCCCTCACCAATGACTGGGAAGACCATCTTGCAGTCAAGCACTTCAGTGTTGAAGGTCAACTGGAATTTAGGGCTCTATTGTTTGTCCCACGTAGAGTGCCATTCGATTTATTCGAAAACAAGAAACGCAAAAACAACATCAAATTGTATGTCCGACGTGTATTCATCATGGACAATTGCGAAGAACTTATTCCAGAATATTTGAACTTCATCAAGGGTGTGGTTGATTCTGAAGACTTACCTCTTAACATTTCTCGTGAAATGTTGCAACAAAACAAAATCTTGAAAGTTATCCGCAAAAACTTAGTAAAGAAATGTATGGAACTGTTTGAGGAATTGACTGAAGACAAAGATGGCTACAAGAAATTCTATGAACAATTCTCAAAGAACTTGAAATTGGGTATCCACGAAGACACACAAAACAGATCAAAACTTGCTGATCTTTTGCGTTACAACACATCTGCCAGTGGTGATGAAGCTTGCACCTTCAAAGACTATGTAAGCCGCATGAAGGAAAACCAAAAGAGCATTTATTACATCACTGGTGAAAGCAAAGACCAAGTAGCCAACTCTGCCTTTGTAGAACGTGTCAAGAAGCGCGGATTTGAAGTAGTTTACATGACTGAACCAATTGATGAATATGTTGTCCAGCAATTGAAAGAATACGATGGTAAACAACTTGTATCTGTCACCAAAGAAGGTTTAGAACTACCCGAAGATGAAGAAGAGAAAAAGAAGAGAGAGGAAGACAAGGCTAAATTTGAAGGCTTGTGCAAAATAATGAAGAGCATTCTGGACAGCAAAGTTGAAAAAGTTGTTGTCTCAAACCGTCTTGTAGAATCTCCTTGTTGTATTGTCACATCACAATACGGCTGGACCGCCAACATGGAACGTATCATGAAAGCTCAAGCCCTTCGTGACTCCTCTACCATGGGTTACATGGCAGCCAAGAAACACCTTGAAATTAACCCTGACCATCCAATTATTGACAACTTGCGTCAAAAGTCTGATGCAGACAAAAATGACAAAGCAGTCAAAGATTTGGTCATCCTGTTGTTTGAGACTGCATTGTTGAGCTCTGGTTTCTCGTTGGAAGAACCCCAAGTGCATGCTTCCCGCATCTACAGAATGATCAAGCTAGGTTTGGGCATTGATGAAGAGGAAGTTATGTTGACTGAAGAAGCACCTGCAACTGAAGCTCCAGTTGAAGGTGGAGATGCTGAAGATGCTTCCAGAATGGAAGAAGTTGATTAAAGTTGCTTTCATGTTGTGGGACATGTGTTGTAATGTGTTCCGGAATTCCCAATTTTTGTACTGATTTTTATTTATTTTTTATTATGGTAATGTAAAGTTTCATTTCTTACATAGATTTCTTTCAGCCTTTTAACAACTGAATATTTGTTTTTTGTTTTTTTGGCTGTGTAAAGTTTACTTGTAAAGTTAATAAACGATTCCCCAAATAATATTTTGAGTTTTTTCTGTGTTAATTTAATTTTCAGGTACCTACTTACTTAACTGAAAAAAATTCAAGCTAGTTCTGGAGAATCAGTTCAAAGCTTTAATTTTTGGTTCCAATGGGATTCAGTCTCAAACAGTTCTGTGTATATTAGATTTAGATTCTATAGTGGACTACTTCTGATTGAAACCAAAAATAAAAGCTGGTGTCTTATCTAATTGAGATTTTGAACTGAATTTAAAAAATTTGCCAAATAAAATACAGCTCAAATAAAAGGTACGTTTTATTATAGCTGTGGCTTGCAATGCAGTAATTAGACTGTAAGATAATGACAGATTTAGGAACCCCATTTTCTACAACCCTTGAAGAAGTTTGAAAAGTACATCGATTTTCAGTAAAATGATGCGAAATTCACATGTGGCTCTTGAGGATAACATAAAATCTGGAAAGATCCATTTTCCTCAACAGAAAAAAAGGTGATCATATTTTCACACAAGCCTTGATTATTTGGAAACCAAAAACTAAAGTGTTTCAACGATGAAAACGCACGCTCGATAAACATTGGTTCGAGTGGCGCAAATGATACATTATTTTTAAGGTAACTTAAGCAAAATCAAATTTTCCATCTTATCCCCAGGAGCCACTTAAATTCTTTCACTCTACTCAACATTGATGCACTTTTCAACCCTCTTTGAGGTTTTTAATTATGCGAAAATCGGGCACATTCTGTTTCCTTTTATAAAATGAGCTATTTTTTGCCATAGGTGTATTTGTTAATTTAATTAGTTCACTACTACATAGATTATGCCAACTAAAACTAGAGGATGGACCTAGATTATTATGTGAATTGTGTTTTTTTAATGGTCAAAAGTCCGAGATTTTTGCATTTTTTCTTTTTTTTAGGAAATAAAGAAGAAGAAGCTGACAAATTAAATCAAATTATGCATTTAAGCCTTGTACCTATATCACAGAATCCTATATGCTTGTATCACAGAATATATAGGTACCCATATATTCTGTGCTTGTATATAGTGAGGTTTCAGCATACTTTCGCCAGTATGTCAATGTACAAAATTTTCCAAAACCGAACAAAGGTCAAAGGTTTAATCGCAGCCCATCAACTTCCAACTTCCTTGCCTCGCAGTCACTTCTCTTGTCTTGGGGGTAACTTTTTAATTGTGAAGTGAGAGGTCAAGTCAATTGGTTTTATGCATAGTGAAAGGAGGACATGGACTTCAGGGCTGATGAGGCTGGATTTGGGAGTACCCCAGGGCACTGTTCTTGGGCCTCTTTCTCTTCTCTTCGTTTCATCAATGACCGTTACCTGAATCACAGAATATATTCTGTGCCTGAATATAAGGGTCCCTGAACTCGTTGATCTTTATAAATAATAATACCAATACATACAGATATTTTCAATATGCTTAGTGGGAGGGCTTTATTTTCTATGTACAGGGTTATCCAACGAAAGAGCTTATTTCTACCTTATATAGGTACCTACTTGTTAATTGAAGAGGTACAAAAAAATGTTAAATAATAAAGTTGGGATTTTTATGAGGAATGAGGAGCACTTTTAAAAAAAAATGAGAAGGCGGGTTTAAAAAATATAGCAAGAAATTTAACATTTCTTGCTTAATTTAAATGCAATGGCAATGACCCATTTTAGAATATGTTTTTGGATTCTACATTTAATTGGAACCCTGAAATATGTTACATGTCCTATAGTTAAATTTAGCAATTGTGGAAATATCCCTAATCAATGATTTTTCAAAATAAATTACCTACGAAAAAAATGATATTTCATCGTTGGAAGCAATACTAATAGACTAGACGGGAACTTACGATACCATTCTTACCAGTTTCCAACGATGAAATATAATTTTTTTCGTAATAAAATAATGCTCTAATTCCTCATAAAAATCCCAACAACTTTTATATTTAACATTTTTTTGTACCTCATAAGATAAATAGTTATTTATGCAACAAGTGTGTAAAGTGAACCTTTTTTCACGAATGTGAATTTTGACAATCACATGAGTGAAAAAAGGTGCTTTACGCACGTATTGCATACAAATTTGTTTCTACTACATACCAATCAAATATGTATAAAAAAATAAATTTAGACAAATTCTTCACGCACTAGTGCGTAAAGTATTTTCACTTTATACGCATTAGTGCGTGAAGTAATTTACCAGAAAAATAGAAATTTGACAGGTCGACATCTGTCATTGACATTACTTTAGGCACTAGTGTGAGAAATTTTACGTCTTCTGAATAGTGCGTAAAGTGAGTACTTTACGCGCGGTATAGTTGAAAAATGCTCTTTCGTTGGATAACCCTGTACCTATCGCGGATAGGTATTCAATCTTCGGTTGAATGTTTTATTAAGGACGGTTCAATTTTTTTTTCTTATGCCTAAATATTATAAATTTATTTTTTCTTAGAGCAAGCAGTCCCTATCACTTATCAGCCAGGCTTTTAGGTAGGTATAAAAATTATACTTTTATATTATGATCCTCGCAGGCATATAAATTAAATTCTCTAGATATCCATAATTCATAATTTTATTTATCTCATGCATGTGTGTTGCACATACGGTGACTTATTCGGGTCAGTTAAGTTAGCTCCCCCCAAAGAAAATTTCTGGATGAAAATTATCCCATAATTTTGCTCTCATTTTGCTCCATTATTGCTCCACTAATTTCGATTTTTGCTCCATTACAGTGGAGAGACTATGTGGCCTATTAGGTGGGGGGGGGCTGAATTAACGCTAGCCCCCCCCAGTGAAAATTCAGAAATTTGATCATGCTCATTTTGTTCTCCGAGTTTTGCTCCATTTTGCTCCACTATCGGCGAGTTTTGCTCCATTACCAGGAGAGACCTATAGAGCTTCCAAGAATCTCTCCCAGCCCCCCCCGGTGAAAATTTTGAAATTTGATCATGCTCATTTTGTTCTCCGAGTTTTGCTCCATTTTGCTCCACTATCGGCGAGTTTTGCTCCATTACCAGGAGAGACCTACAGAGCTTCCAAGAATCTCTCCCAGCCCCCCCCCGGTAAAAATTTTCAAATTTGAACATGCTCATTTTGTTCTCCGAGTTTTGCTCCGTTTTGCTCCATTATCGGCGAGATTTGCTCTATTACCAGGAGAGACTTACAGAGCTCCCAAAAATCTCTCCTAGCCCCCCCGGTGAAATTTTTTAAATTTGAACATGTTCATTTTGTTCTCCGAGTTTTGCTCCGTTTTGCTCCATTATCGGCGAGTTTTGCTCTATTACCAGGAGACAGGGACGGGGCCATGGGGGGGTTGGGGGGGCGATGCCCCCCCAAATGTTCCTAAAATATATCTAAAGTTGGGAAAATTTGGATAAAAAATTTAAAGTTGGGAAAAATTGGTAGACAAAAATTTGCGCACCTTATTTGCGAGGACTAATTATTATTATTATTGTCTTTTGAGAAATACTTAAGAATGAAGTTAACTGACTTTTCAGAATCCATCGGTGTAATGTCTGGAGATCGCGGAGGCCCGTTAATGGTACCACTAGTGGAAATTATTATTCCTGGAATTATGAGCTTGATATGTCGTTGGATTTAGATTAAAAAGTAGAGTTTATTAGGCATAAAATAAAAAAACTCGACCATTTGAAAAAACAAAGTTGATGATGATCGCGAAGAAACGAAACGTCTGATCAAAAATCTAATAACATTATCATGTAGTGGAGAAAAAGTAGCAATGAGAATGTGAAGTTTATTGTGCGATATCATTTGAAATAAAGTCAGAAAAAAATAAAAACCATTTCGGCAAAATTCGGTTTTTCATGGATATCTTCGGAATAAAGTGCGTTTTTTTTTTAAAGATAATAGATATTTATGATATAAGTGTTAAAAATACATTTTTAAGGCACGCATGTGAAAGTTTGCAGAATGAGCGAAATGAATTCTGCAATTCACATAAGTGCCTTAAAAATACTTTTAACACAAATATCATACAATATTTTTTCTACAAACGGCATTAAAAAGCAATAACCAGTAACAAATTGGATTTTTAAATGAATAATAAATTGGAAGCATCTTTCCCTTTCCTACATAAAATTATTAAATTTGACATTTGTCAAAAATTCCAAACAACCAGCACCTTGGTTTACAGGTAATGAAATGTCTTGTCAGTTTCTTAAAAGCCTGTCGTGGTCAGTAAATGGTCAGTAATGCTTTTTGCTAAAAAAGCAAGAAAATACAGAAGAAAAAGAGGGTTTCATCGATCACTCGAAAAATATAGATGAGGCGGCCAATCGGGCAAATTTAGTTGTTCAAATTTCACCATTAATGTAAATAACTAAAAATACAAACTTTTTTTGACGTTCGCTCTCAAAATTTGATGTTTCATTTTTAACACTAGTGCTATAAAGACTTTATGGAACTAGTGCGATAAAGTAACATTTTTAATGCTTCGAGGGGGTGTTGAAAATTGCATTTTTAACACGTTTGTAGAAAAAAGTCAAAATGACACAATGTAAAATTGTCAATGCTTTCAAATTTTTATGTAGAAAATGCTTATGTTGCCAACAAAGTTACAAAATTTTTGACTTGGGGAATTATCTTTAAAAAAAAAACGCACTTTATGTAATTCGGAATTTACGAAATATCAAAACATGACGCCACTGAGCTCAGTAATGCGCAACTCTTTCCAAATTTAACCAACCCTATATCTCTTATGGTTGCCGAGATCAGACTGCATCCTTATCCGGGACACCCTGTATACATGTCAAACTTTTTATCAATTTTTGAAGTGAAACTTCTTAGGCGGCGGTCTGATATTTAGACAAGAATATGGAGATGGAGAGTGATTTGAAAAACGCATCACGTAACGTCACGTTTTGGCAAATTTCGTTACACGAGAGATGAGAGAGAAGGAATATATAGTAGACTGTAGAGAGACGGAGAAAGCGAGCCAATGGGTACATTCAGGCGGTCCCAGCGGCTAAGCTCAGCCACTCAGCAGGAACTTTATTCTCGAAACAGAGGAGCAGCGTTCTCATTGGAACGAAGGTTCTGTCTTTGTCGTCCGGCATAACACTGA